GGGATAGAGAGATAATGGGTTTAAACTTGGGATATCCTTTGCTTTGTATTTTTGTATTTTTGGAACATTGCTTTTGATGTTGGGAATGACAGTCGATTTGTAAGCGTTTGACATTCCGGACTCCCGAGGTCGGGACTTCAGGTGGTTTCCAGATGTCTCTTTATGTTTTGGGATCTCGCATCTTCTAAATGAGTGCTTTGTATTTGTTTGGATAATAATATATGCATTGGATAAGAGAAGTAATTGATATAAATCACAAGTGTCCCTGAAGGATGTTATTTTGAGGTACACGCTATTATCCAACAATTACACCAAAGCTCCACAGAACACATGTTCAATTAAGAAAAAACCCAGAAAGACTATTACAAAACCTGTTGGGCCTGGTTTAAGTTATTCCACGAACCTCCCGAGCTGCTGTCGAAAATAGCCGATGAATTAGAGTGAACAGGCACATTAGGAAGCGGGTAGTTGCGGCCTTGACTGAGTGCCGAGGAGTACTATTAACGAATTGACGAGTTAGCGAAAAGATAGGGTTGAAACAAAACAACTGGAAAGTCTAACCTTGAAGACAAAGTTCAGGACCAAGGCAACTGCCAAACCGATGCAGACTACGATAGGACCGAACATATTGTCTAGGTCCTTTCCACTCCGCTGGCGGATGAGACGGGCCCGTTTCTCGTATATGAACCATCCCCAGACTGCGGCGAAGATGGCAAAGAAGGTGTAGACAACAGCCAGTGCCTGGGCTACCTGGTTGTGCTTGCCAGCAGCATTGTAGAGGCCCAGTGATAAACTCGACAGGAGGATACTGATGTGAAGCCATTTGATGAATGTTCGCTGGTTGGCAAGGTAAACCTTACTTTCCACACGAACGGGTCCCGCATCTTTGATCCAGACGCCGGGGTGTCGAACGCCAGGCGGTAGAGAGACAGGTTCCCCAAGCCAGCGCTGAGGAGATAGCCCAAAGAATTGAAAGATGGACTCGAGGTGAGTGGGCGGCTCTGATTCTTCCTCTGGTTCGGGAGCGGGTTCAGTATCATGGCGCTGGGGCTCTGGGATTGATGGACGCGGAGGCCGCGCAGCAGGTTCGATGACTGCCGAGGATCTCCGTATGGCTGAGGGAGAACCCGTATGAGAGTATTGGTGGTAAGGTGACCCGACCTGTGGGCGAACGCCTGGGCTGCGCGCGTCTCCCATGAAACTTCCCACTGCTATGTTCTCCTCCGCTCGTCGAGCAAGTCGCTCTTGCTCCTCATGGAATGCGGTTTCCGGATCACGGCGAATATCACTTTCAAGTTCACCAAGCCAGAAGGGGAAGCTATTGACATGGTCTTCAAATAGTGATGCAACGCCGTGGACGAACTTGGAGAAGCGGGGGGCATCCTTGACAAGGTGGGAGACCATCAAGTCCTTGACCCACTCGGTGTTATGGGCCTTTCCTCGAAGCTGGATCTCGAGCAATGCGTGAGGGAAGCGAGTGATCTCTCCAGTTCTGACAGCATTGAAGGGATAGGTCATATCGGCATTGTCCAAGTCGGTACGGTGCCACTCAGCTGGATCGCGACATGGACGTTCGCTATCGAGGGCATCTTCCCGAATGAGCGCAAGGTTGGTATCGAGGGAAATACGAATGCGATCATTGCCAGGAATTTGAAAGGCGGTGCGGGTGTAGTTGGCCCGGAGCATGGGTTGCAGGTCATTGTCCTTGATGAAGGACTGCAGCTCATCCACGTCCTTTTTCAAAGCCTCGGCGGCCGCCGACTCGCCATTGTTTGAATCCTCCATGCGATGGAGCTTTTTATCGAAGCGATACTCGCCGTCCAAGAATTCCTTAATGTGCTTGTCTTTGAGCTGTACCTTGACTTGTCGACTTTCGTCGTCGTCGGTGACAATCTTCTTTTCCAACGAGATGGTAGGTTTGTCCTTTAGTGATCCCGTCCAACGCAGTCGCAAAGAGCCGGCTTCGGGTGCCCGTGCGACCTTTTGATTGTAGAGATCAAACTGAGGGGAATCAAAATAGAGGGACGTAATGGTAGGGTCTTCAGTCATGGTATCGAGATCCTTAGAAGTTCCCGGTCTGTAGATAAGAACCGGCAGTCGGCGAAGGATGTGAGTCTTGACCTCCAAAACGTTGTCTGAGTGAACCCAGAATTTGTAAGACGAATAGGTCTCACGGCCAAATCCATGCTCTGTCTCTCTTGGTTGCACAATGTCATGGCTAAGGGTCTCTCGAACAAAGGAGTACATCACCGAGAGCCGATGGACCAACGGTGAATAGTCCTCCGAGTTGAAAGGCAGTTGCGACAGTCGCACTTGGAGCAAAGGCTTCACCCGGTACCGGGCACCTCGTTTGCGATCATGCTTCTTTGCAGCCTTAAGGAAGCCAGTGAAATTGATTCGGCTGTACTTTTCCAAGGCACTGACTTCCTTGGTGATATTATCGAGTTCTTGCAGAACTTCTGAGGCAATAGCCCTTTTCTTTTGTTCATCGAGGATAGGCGTTTCTTGCTCCGGAGTAGATGCCAATGGCCGAAGTTTAACTTCGCATGCCGTTGTCCGTTCTCGGAGTTGCTGCGATGTCTCTGCTTGAAAAGAATTTACCTTGTCCAGTTCTACATTGAGCAGTTCCTGCACAAAGGCTTCCTCATCTTGCTCAGTCCATTGATCGTCATCGGAGTCACTGGCGTCTTCTCCGTTCCGGGTGACATCATTCTCTCTCAGCAAGGTCTTAAGCTTGGTGTAGTCAATGTACTTCCCTTTCCAGGGAGGGTACACTGCAGTACGGAGGGTTTTCCCAAACCGCATTTTGAGCCAGTCCGGTTGTAATTGGTGTTGTGCAGTTGTTACTCAGAGCAGGTGTGCACCTCTGATTGGGGGGTTTCGAAAGGGAGGAAGAGATAAGAGAGAGAATTGAGGGTTGATCTTTAGGTTCGAAAAAGCAAAGCAAGAGCTGATATTCAGTTGCAGATCAAGAAATATGAGACGCCAAAAAAAAAATAGCTCATTAGCTTCAAACTAAGCGATGGATATGTCGCAGCTTCCAGACTGAAAGCGTTCGATAGCCAGCGATAGACGCACGTGCTCGTTGGATGGGTCCAATCAGAATCCATCAATGGACAAGTGGATGACTAGCTAGAACTAGCTAGTCGGATAATCTATATTCCGATGGTATTGTATGTTATTTTACCACTTTACAATACAGAAGTACAGAAGTACGGGCTAGACCGATATCGCCCCCCCGTCGGGACCGGAGAGAGGTACGTGCACATGAACCTCTCCAATACCAATGTCCACAATCCAGGGATCCTTTGACATCGAAATATTAGATATACACAACTTGATGGAGGCCAAGTCTGGACAAACCCCGGGGTTGTCCCATCATCTGCATGACGTATTAGCCGAACTACATCGTCAACCTTATCCCTACGTCCAAAACCCCCCAACCTGCAAGAAACGCGCCTCGGTTGCCTTGATTATTCGGGTACGACCAACCTATGCCCATTGGCCCAGCTCAACCTCCACAAAAGATGCTTCTCAGCCAGTCCAACAACGTTTAGATGAGTTCTTTTCACAGCAATGGGTCCAACACGGTGAACCGGAGGTTCTGTTTATCAAACGTGCTTCGCGCGTGGGGGACCGATGGACTGGTCATGTTGCCCTACCGGGCGGAAAGCGAGACCCGGAAGATGCAGATGATAAAGCTGCAGCTATTAGGGAAGCTTCAGAGGAAATCGGTTTAGATCTGACAACGGAGGATACCATTAGTGTGGGCAATCTCCCTGAGCGGGTAGTTACTACCAGCTGGGGGTCTGAACCGTACGAATGCCCAATTCACTTTCGCCGTCGAAAACTGGATCACTGACTTGAATTGCAGGTTGATGGTTCTTTGTCCCTTCGTTTTCCTCACGACTCGCAGCGACTCCCCGACTCTTAGATTACAGCCCACAGAAGTAGCATCGACACATTGGATTCCCCTGCGCGCCCTCCTATCACCATCGCTGCGGACCGTGGAATATGTGGATATGTCGCAGCGCTTCGCTCGACAAGGCGGGTTTCTGACCCGTCTTGCAGTTCGGTCTCTGATGGGCTGGATGCAGTTCTCGGCCGTGAGGCTCCTCCCGTCGGAAACCAACCAATGCACTACAACTCCAGGGTTTGTCCCTGAAGAGAATACGCCCAAACCTTCCCTGGCCCAGCGCGTCAAGGGATGGTTTTTGAGTGGGCAAGCGGATTCGAGTGACACTGCCCGTCCGCTGCTCCTCTGGGGTCTCACCCTCGGCATCCTGGCCGACTTCTTGGATATGCTCCCTCCCCATCAAGCTGTGAAGTTGTGGAAATATCCCACATTTACCATGCCTGATCTGCGGTTGATTATAAGCATTGTGACTTATAACCTGCGGAAGCGTAATGCACTCAATGTGAGATCGGGTGCTCGTCCTAGTAATACGGCCGCTGATAGCGAAACGGCCGCACTCCCAGTCATACAGGAGACGAATACCGAACATGATCACAATGAAGTGGGTATCGGTGGTCTCGGAGTGGGAAGATATTATGGTCCGACAGATCAAGCAACAGATGGGACCTCTTATGCTGTTGGGATCATGCTCCGCGGGTATTATGACCGCTTGCGCATGGCAATCTGGGTTTTCCTGGCCTGGCGTGTAGCCATTGGTTCAATTGCTGGTGTTTCAGCCTGGCGAATTCTTCGACGACTGCGTTAAAGTGTATATTAAGCAATAGTTATAAAGGTGCATTTATTAATACAACATACGTCCATGCATATGTACATATTAGATATTAGATCGTATGATGAAAATCAATCACATGTTTCATGTTTCGGACAAGCCGGAAATACGAATACCAAATTACATAAGAAATAGATTATTACGGCATTCGGTCACATTACCCGGGAGCTCCCCACATCCTTTTTGGGGGGTAAACATTGAACATTGAACATTGCACACGTCTTCCACTTCACCACCTCCTCTATTCTACTCATAATGGCGGCAGTTCAGAAACTATATCCACGAGGAACAGTCAAGCGCATTGTCAAAGCCCACTCCAATCGGAGCGTGAGCAAGAATGCCGATATCCTGGTACGCGGCCGTCCCAATATGAAGTTGAAGTCTCTCTATTCTCCAGTTGCTAATACTAGTTTTGTAGATCTTTTTGGATTACATGTTATTCATGCAAGAGTACGTCTCCGTCTATTCTTGTGGCTTGGTCCACCGGCCACAACCCTCCGATTCTCGTTCTCGCCGCCGACGTGATTGAACTAGCAATGGACTAACATACTGTAGGTTAATGCGCGAAGCATCGATTCGGTCGCGCAAGTCTGGCGAGAAGAACATCTCAGCGAATACTGTGCGCAAAGTTACCGAGGTGCGTTGTTTGAGGTCGATCTAAAAGCTTCTCTGGAAGTTTCGTGAGAACATATAGCTGACAAGTATGGGGTTTCTTTAGAAAACACTGCGCAAATTCCAAGGATAGCCGAGCCCAGGATACAACCTCGATCTGTCATTTCTGAAGAAGACCTGCCTAGCGTGGATATGAAAGGCCGGGGGGGGGAATACTGTACTGAGATTGACTTGCATTTTGTGATATTATGGCGTTGTGGGCGAATGTGAATATGATACCCTGGGGCAATACAATGGAAGAAATGATCAAATAATGAATCAGTTATCTGGTAAATTGCGTATTCGTAGATCCATAGGCCAGTGCTGTGATTGTTCAATTGCTTAATTGCTTAAATCGCGTGCTAGCAACGCGTAAAGAGAGAGAGAGAGCCCCAAGGCAGTGGGCCACACCGACCAAGAAAGGGTTCCCGACCCGCATCTTGATTCTTCCTTCATAACACCCATCTTTTCTTCAACGTTATCACGTTTAATTCTTCATTCCATACCTGTACAAGCTTTTCGGAAATACTTTAATATCTGTGTTACCCACATTCCCATCATGCCTCCCGCTTCCGCTACCCAGAAGCTCAAGGACGAGGAGAAGGGCTCCCGAGCTTCAAGCGTCTGCAAGGACCCCGAGAGTCCCATCTCTGATGGTCAAGAGAGCAGCTATTTGAAGGAGCTACAGAAGTATGTCTAAAATCTTATACCTGGTTGCACGGTTATTGTCTTTGCGCGCGTGAAAGTGAGCTAACTGTATGCCCCGTTTAGGACACTTCGCAATGCCATGAAGAAGTTGGTGAGTCATTGTCGAATGTTCTCTGGTTTCAATTGTTTCTTTTCATACATTTCTAACATTGCTGTTTTCTTTTTTTATTAGAACTCCCTCGCTAAAGTCGACGCCATCATCGCTGAAAACCCCGACAAGTCGCTTGATCAACTGATTGAGGAGAAGAAGATCAACAATGACCAGAAGGCACAGGTCCTGAAGAAGCCTACCCTTCAGGCAACCGTTGCCCAGACCGAGGAGCAGATTGGCCACTACAAACAATTCGCTGTCCAATACGAAGACCGTCTAGCTGCTCAGAAGGCTGCGCTTGTCAAGGCGCATGAGGCGGAGCTCGAAGCTGTCCGTAATAACGCCATTGCTGATGCAACTGAGGCCTCTAAGAAGGCATTGCGCCAGCAGTTCTACACCGTGACTAAATTCTTGTGCGCCGCGGCCATCCTTAGACGCGACGGTGATGCTGTCACCACCGAGAGCCGTGCTTTCGAGGGTGTTCTATTCGAGGTGTATGCTGGCAACCAGTCTGCAGTTAATTCGCTACTGAAGATTGCCGAGGGTGCTGATGAGAAGGTCAATGCTGTTGAGGGGGCCACTCTTGATTTTACCTGTCAGTAATGAATCCCCCACCCACAACCCCACCCCCACCATCACCATCATCACCACCACCAAATATCATTGAATGTGCTGGCTGACATTCGATCCCTTTAGACGGCGATGTGAAGCAAGCATCTGACAAGTTCGCTCCCCCTGAGGAGACTACTGAAATTGTCTCGGAGGCAACCCCCACCACCGACCCTACAACCGACCCTACCGTGGCCAACGCCGGATTGACCGAGCTCCAGGATACCTCTTTCGGCGCTCAGGCTGTGCCTGCAGCTTCCGAGGCTGATCAGCTGGCCCCTCCTGTACAGTCTCTGGTTTCTGATGCTGGAAACTCGATTGCGGAGCAAACCTGGGCTCCTACTGCCGATGAGAGCAGCGAATGGGTCAAGCTTCCTCGCAACCCTGATGAGACCGACACTGGCCTCCAGGCTACTCCGGCTAGCGCCGATGCGGGTTTGAACAACGGTTCCGTTGGCGCCGATGTTACAACGCAGGGCGAGAGCGGTGCTAAGTCTATTGGACGCCGCCGTCACGGACAGCGTGGTGGCCGAGGCCGGAATGACGCTAAGCGTGCTGTTGAGGGCCGCGCTGGTGAGGGCCGTGGTAGTGAGGGCCGTGGAAGTGAGGGTCGTGCTGGTGAGGGCCGTGGACGTGGTGGGCGACGAGGCGGTCGTGGCGGACGTGGCCGAGGCGGTGCAAGTGGCCCTGCCTCTGGCTCGGCGGAAGCTCCTGCTACCAGCGAGTAAGAGTGGTAATCCTAGGATGTCAGTCAGAACCTGCTGGTTTTGGGATCTTGTCTCGAAAGTGGTGTTCCAACGAGGGATTTCTAGATCTGTCTTCTCGAGACTGACCTCGGCAATTTCTGGTCCGATGTGATGGCTCACGAACGCAACGAATTTTCTTCACGGAGAGTCACTTTGATCTCTTCGTCTGGCTTTGCCAAAGTCTTCTTGACCATGTCCTGCAATTTTTTTCAGCGTGCATATTCCCGATCCCCAGGGAGCTTCTCCCACGACATACATATGTATTCTATGGCTATTGTTTTATCGGCGCTTGTGAACGGACCGGTGGACAGGCTTAGGTCGGGCATAGATCGAAATTGATCATAATGAGTGCACCATTACTTTCTAGGATTTCCCCTAGATAACATTATCTTTCAGTATGGGCCAGTTTGATGTGACAGAACAAAGTTTACTACTTGAATAGGTGGGCAATAATCAATGGTAGATAATACTGCATCCGGTAATATATAAACGTAGTTATATGAGACCACTTAATGTGCTCGCGAAGGACCGATACGTATATCTAGGAAGCTAGGTAGTAGGTAAAGACTATAAATAATGTCAGCTAGAAATACCCCATCCCGACAATCATTTCCCCTCGCTTAGTGTATATAAGATCTATATATAGACCCACTCTACGAGCATGTATGGGTTATATAGTAACTACAACATAGTTTAATACTCTTTATAATACACTCTCATTTTACCACCTTACTCTATATAGTAAGCTTTTGGTATTAAGTCATACCAGTTCCTTCCTCTCCGTTCGACAGGAGACTTTGTCCCCTCATTCCTAGCCGTTACTAGGGCATAGAGAGAATCTCAACAGGTATGCATTGGTCTGAAGCTTTCATTCTACATTTCTATATTGTATTTGCCGAGTACAACTGCCAAAACATGCCCCGCCTACTCAAAAGCTCTTGCGGTGCTCCTAATTCAGGTACTGTACCGTGCTTCATGACCATGACCAGATCCGAGTCCATCACAGTATTGATTTGATGGGTAATTGAGATTATAGTCCGTCCTTTCAGCTTCTCACGAAGAAGCCCCGTGGCCAATCTCTCGGTATGCTCATCAAATCCAGCTGTAGGCTCATCCATGATGATGATCCTACCAGGAAATAGAATAGCACGGGCAATGCATAAAATCTGTCTTTGGCCATTGGACAGATTAGTTGTATCGATGTTCGCACTCAGGCCACCATGGTCTCGAATTTGATGCCAAAGTCCGACTTCCTTCAACGCAGATACCATCGCCGAATCATCGATAGTTGATGTTATTCCCAAGGCAAGGTTTTCACGGATTGAACCGGGAATAACCAATGGGGTTTGAGAAATTGGGACCAATGCAGAGTGAAGCTTCTCTCTGGGAAGAGTTGAGATATCGACACCGTCAATGAAGATTTCGCCAGACGTGATCGTTACGAGAGAGAAAAAGCAAGCAAGCAAAGAACTCTTTCCACTGGTCGAGTTTAGTCGTCACTCATTCATAAGGGCTTTGCTAGCCTTACCTTCCGGTTCTCCCACAAATACCTAGCTTCTGGCCGCCCTCTAGGCTAAATGAGACACTTTGCAATACAGGGGTGGAAACATGTCCCCTAGGAGCAATCTTAGTCCTTGGTTCAATTGACTTGCCACGAAGGTGATGTTCAAAGACTTACCCATATGACGCAGAAACCTTTCGAAATTCCACTCGACCTTCCCACGGCCAACCCTCTGGACAAGCTATCTCATTCCTAGCCGGTTGTAGTTGCAGGTCTGTCACAAATTGTTTGACTCTCACAATTGCCCCTAGAGAAGTCTCCAACTGTGTCCAGTTCGTGATTAAGGATGTCAATGTTGCGTTGAATGAAAGCAGGTTCACAAGAGCAACGCCGAGGGCTCCAGAGCTAGTCTTCTTGCTCACAAAAATAGCCAATGTAACTAGAACGGTCGCAAGCCCCGCCATAAGGAGATCCAAAACAACCTGTAGCCACTGCTGAATGGAGTACATAGTGTAAAATGGCTTCTGGGACCTGTCGAGGAGCTCGGCATTTTGATGTGCAAATTCATGCTGCCAATGAAGTGCACGGATAGTCGTAAGACCCTCTATGGTTTCCAAGAATTGGGTGTAAAGGGGAGCCTTTGCTTCTAGATCAAGGAGTCTGATCTGCCGTGAAGTACGCAAGTAGAAAGCTTGGATTGTCCATACTGCCATAATGCAGAAGGGGATTACGACAGACATGTAGCCTGATCCAGTAGCTATCAAGGCGCCTTGTGCGATACAAGTCAAAACGTCTGCTCAAGAGTCAGTACTTGTGATTAAACGACTTTGAAGGATCGGAGACCACGAACTCTGAAGACTTATGCCGAATGCAACAGGAAGCTGCATGTCAAGAAGTGACATGTCCTGGCTAAATCTAGAAGCAATCAGTATCCATTGAAAATGAAATTTAGTGGCGTCTCACAGATGTCTTACCTATTGATGAGATTACCTGTATCTATCCGAGCCACGCTAGGCCAAGGTGCCCTAGAAAGCTCTTCAGTAAGAACTTCAGACCTATATCTGGTGCGTCTTGGTCTCTCACCTCATGACCGCGTCAAGAAAAATTCTATGTAGCTGGACAGCTGACCTGGGAACGGCCCAGACAAAAAAGAATCTAAGAGCGTGAGAAACCTCTACGAACATGAGCAGAGTGCGTTAAACATACCCGATAAAAGCGGCTATCGCAATGATGGCGATAGACGATATACCGACGTAGGAACCGAGATATATATAATTCTTTTGGGGGGCTGAGCCACACCACCAGCTCAGTATAACCTCTGCAATGAATATTTAGCAACTATTTCTCTGGATACACGGAGATACTCACGCGGAAAGGAAATGCAGAACACGAATAGAGATGCGAATACTACCGTTAACCCAAATACCCACCATCCAAACGATCTGATATAGTAGGTATAGAGCGAGATGTCCCTCCCACCTCGGGGTGTATTAGGAACTATATCTCTTTGAGTCTCTCCGGCTTTTTGCTTCATTTCCTGTACTCCCTTGAGCCTGGAAACACTCTCTTCGCTTTCTTCGATACTATTGTCTTCGGTGCTTATTAAAGAAAGTCTCTGTATGTACTCATTGTTCTTCACCAGTTCTTCGAAACGCCCTTGAGCTTCCACGCGACCATCTTTTGAAAGAACAATCAGATTGTCCGCTTCTTTCAAATGTTGCACTATTGATGCAAAAAAAAAAAAAAAAGCCATCAGCGCCGCAATTGTTTATGAGCATATTAGACTCACCTGCTGTTGTCACAAGAATGGTAGCCATACCGATCCTTCTGGCCAGGCCAGCACGACCGAGCACTTGTTGGAAGACTATCCTCGATGTCACTGTATCCAAGGGGCCAAAACAGTCATCTAAAACCAGTAAAGATGGCCTCGCGTAGATTGCTCTGGCCAAAGCCTAAATCCACGCAAATTAGTAGCTAGGAAAAAAAAGCCAAGAGAATTTTTATCGGTATATTTACCACTCGCTGCTTCTGTCCTCCACTTAGCTGAGCTCCTGAGCTCCCAGCTACTGTGTCTAGTCCGAGAGGAAGTGTTGTGGCTTCAATATCCAGGTCACAAGCATATAGCACCTCTTCGAGCCATTTCTCGTCAGCGTGTGATTCCCCGATGATGTTCGCTTTTAGTGTGCCATTGAATATCCACGGATTTTGCTTGCAATACGCCACCTTGACCGAACTAACGGACAGACTCCCTTCTCTTAGATACATTTCGCCAAGTATTGCTTCGAGTAAGGATGACTTGCCGGAGCCAATAGGGCCAGTCACCGCTGTATATGAAGCATACTGTATCTTCAGTGTTATCCCATCAAGAATTGCTGGATTATCCAGGCCCAAGCTGAAGCTACAGTCAGCCATACAAACAAGGGGCTGGGACTGAGCCGATACTGAGTTAAGCTTCGTTCCTGAAACGTTCTCAGGTGCTACCCATTCACTCTCTACTAGGACCTCATTCGCTCGGCTGTCCTTGTAAAGAAATTCTTGGATCCGATCAAAACAGCCAGTAGCGGATGTGAATCTCGTCCATGCGACCGATAATAACACCACGGGGGTTGTCAGAAGGGAAATTAAGGATAAAGACGTGAACACAATATCAGTGCTAGGTGTCTCTAGCCTAAGCTTCAGCTGTGTAGCGGCATACACGGCTATTGTCACAGCGGGAGTGATAGCAGTCGATAGCGCGCTCAAAACATTCACACCGACAATCATTGATCGATAGGGCTTAGATTGACGTAGTTCCAATTCGCGAAGTTTGTGTATCTTAAGTCCTATATCGGACTCGACACCGAACATTTTGATCTGTCTCAGTTCTTTGAGTATCACCGAAGTGAAACTGACTCTCTCTTGAACAGCTTGCACCCAAATCTTTTGCCATTGCCGCATTCGAGGTGCGAGATAGGAGGACCCTAGTACGCTCACTTTTTTTTTGGTCAGTCTTCTATTTCTATATTTTTTTATCGCTGAGTTTGCAAGAACCTACCCAAAGTAACAGCCAGAGCGGCGGCCGAGGGGTATCCAACGGATCTGCTTAGAAGCACAAGCGCAATCACGATCTCTACCGGTGATGCCCAGAGCTCGTGGAAGTTCAACAGCCCGGCGACAACCCGATCAACGTCGGTGCTCATTAAGGTGGTCGAACGTGTCTCTTGACATCGACCGGAAGTTTGGCGAAGGGTCTTCACATATATCATCGTAACTAACGATCTACGAGTCATAGTGATCATACGAATAACTTGACGCTTGAACAAAGCAGTGCTTACCTAGAATGTTCAGCAATCGAGGGAATCGATCCAGTGAGGGACGTGTGGACTACTTACTGCTATCCCTACGTAAATTAACACTGTCGCACCGATGAAGCCATATTTGACCCCGGATACCTCACTGGAGTCGTTGTCGGACACGTAATTGATGAGGTCGTTAATGAGAAAGGGCTGGGCAAACTTGAACCCAATCAAACAAAGGCGAGGGGCGACAGCCGCTGCTACCGTCCATTTCAAGTCGTAAATGATATTACGGAAAAGTGCTAGCCGTCGAGTGGGTTTCTCTGGCAGTCATGAGTCAGTCTCCAATTCTATTAATCCAAATCATCCAAGTCAACTTTGTTACCTTTCCATTGCTGATCACCGCGGGAAATGAGAGACTTAGTCAAGAGTTTCTCATCTAGTGGATAGAGATCGTCGAGGGATAGCTCGTCTCGGAAGCCACTTATAAACAGCCCGTTAAGCCACCAGTAGGTACTCTGACTGAAGATCCCGGTGAAACTTTCTGGAGAAATACGGCCGTTTTGGGGGCTTAGAGTGTCTCTGTTCTCGCTCGTCTCCAATACGAGCAACAGGGACCGGACCACGAGAGCAGCAGTGGCTGTCGCCGCGAGAGAGTAGCTTATAGGATGGAACAACCACAAAGTCCGTACTTGCGCAATTTCAAATATGATGCTCCCCAGAAGATATAGGCAGATCAAACTCGAAGGCTTTAGGGAACGTGCATGGTCATAGTGCGAAAGTAGTAACAGCGCCAGAGTGCTAATCATGCCCACCGTAGCGGACGCAACTGAGATCTTTGTTACCAGAAACTGCGGTAAACACCATAAAATAAGGAGAACGATCTTCAGCGCCAGCATTAGCGTATAGAACATCTATATAACATCAGCTGCAAGCTTCTTGGAGAGCTCTAGGAAAGCGAAAATGGAGACCGACCATCTTGTAAGAGCTAACCGCCCCGCGGCGTATCTCTTTCCGCTCCCCGCGAATAAAATACCACCGACAAAAGCATAGAATGAGGAATGACAGATCGGGAACTAAAGCGAGGATTCCCTGCTCGAAGAGTAGTGTAAAGTCGAAGTCGCGACGACAAGGCGACACTCTTGGACCGAAGTGAGTATCAGCAGAGATATCACACTGCATCTTCGCTTTTTTTGGTGCACGCGAACAAGATGAGTTAGTAGAGATGGAGGGAAAAGCATTACGCAGGTAGAAAATCCAGGGAATATGTGATAGAGGCTGAAAATATCCTCTGTGCTGAAGGTGTGATTGCGGCGCCCTACGTGTCTGGCAAAAGCACCAACCCCTGGCTGATTAGATTGGCTGTGAGCGTTGCGATAAGCTAGTCGACGCCAGCTGATGTCGAAAACGACGCTGGCTGCGCCCAAATTCATTAACTGACTATTTCCCTGCTTTTGCCTCAGTACTCCGTACTGGCTCCTTGATCGGGACAATAGACATGCGTGACAAAGGGCATATGTATTTTACATGCGAGTGGATTACCCCCAAACACATAGTAAATGTGATATATTCTACATTTATATACCAAGAACCATGTTCTTACTTTATCTCCTTATTTGCCGATGGTTATTTAAGACTCATTGGCACCATTTCTCAATTTCAAGAAAGTAGAACGCTAGAGTCACAACGCAAAAGTGTAAACACCCCAGATCCTGCCGGTTAAATATTCACCAATAAAAGGCCATGGGGTAGTAGGCGGTATGCTGGTTTCGGAAGGCGGTAGTAGAGGGGTGCTAACACTTTTGCGGAGTCACTATACAACATATATTATCTATCGTTGTTGAGATATCAAGTTGTAATTTATCGCATTCACTATGTATTTGGGGGGTGATCCACCCGCTTGTGAATACATGAAGCAAGGAATCAGGTTTGTAAGAAATTTAGTTAACTATCCGACTAGCGAGGCGCCCCTCGTTGACATGTCCACTAAAGCACCCTCCTGGAGCTGTACCAAAAATCTGTAGTCTGTGGACGCCTCGTTATGGGTATGAATGGAATAGCACGTCTTTCTCGGTAAGCATGTTCAATTGAAACCTGGCTGATCATCCGCAGGCCAAGGCGGCATGGCATGCAGGGCTAGATCAAGCCACGCCGGCATTAGCCGGTGCAATTTACACCATTCTACCCTTCCACGGGGCACTATCTAGGGAAGGCTAAGCCTCCTCTGTACATATGGCGTGTATCTCCATCCACTCAGTCAATTTATCGAACCGGCGACATTTGTGGTGCGTCGAGAAATCTGCCTCGGCCCCAAGCGGCTTGGAGTCGTCCAGCCGCACCAGCACAGGTGTCACGTCCCCTGCACACATGAGATGAATTCGTAGCGTCTCAATGCAGTGGTCGACATGTGTTCTTGACATTTCCGGGGATTTTTGAAACCCCTCCGGTGGCACTTCGTAGGAGTCAAGGTACGTGTACTGTCGAATCATGTTCTAACACGACAAATTCGTTCCTATTAGCTATATTTATCAAACTGATCCTTATCCACATACCAGACAATGCAGCTGATGAAACACTTCTACATTAGCTTCGGCGCCTCCGCCATATTGCGTGGGTGTCTGCTTCCAATTTGTATCCACCGACCGATTGAGTGAGGATAACTTGTTCACCGGAACGTTGATATCGTGTTCTAAGTGTTTTCAGAAGCTTGTTCAAAGTATAGGATTAAATACAATACTTACGTCTCCAAAGACGATCCCATGCGAGTTCTAGCTCTGGAGTTGGTGAACCCCGGTAAATGGACTCCTGATGGAAGTTGTTCGCCCAGTCGACCTCGTAATATTCCACTGCCTCTAGTAATGGGGCTAAAAGGTTGCGATTAGCAGATATTTCATAGACATCAGAATATCTAAGCCGAGAAACTTGAAACCCACAGTAAGATGATAATCGCATTGCACATTTCCGATCACTGGGTGCAAGAATGGTGAGCAATGCAGCAAACAGCACACATGCCCCTCCAAATAATGCAATTGAAATGGCCATGAAGACTTGGGGTCGGCAACATTGTCTATTGGTGGTCGATTTTTGTACCTCCATGAGAGGTGAATCCTGTTGCTCTTCATATTCTTCTGGACAGGGTTCTTCTTGAGATTGAGAAACTCTCATGTAAGCTGATATGGCGACCATCTCGACTTCTGTTCAAAAGGTAGATAGATGCTCTTGGATTATGGTGAGTTCAGTGGACTTTTGAGAAGGGTTTGGAATAAGGTCAAAGAAAGGACTGACAGATTCTGGCGATTCTCATTCACGACTCCTAAGGCCTGAAATAGACTCGTATTTAATACAACACCTAGAGTGGTCTGCCGGCCTCATTTGGCCAGGGTCATAGGTGTAAGACTGATCACAGTTTTTCCGCCTGACATACACATAATCTACCTTATCGGGGAAAATTCGTAACCTGACCTTAGTCTCACAACCGAGCGATCTATGGACGTATCTTGTAAGTGGGAAAGCCTTTGTTTCTACCTCTTAGGGGCCATGAATCCATGTTTGTTGATATTGATACTCATGCACTGTTACCCTCATTTCCATAATAGTGGTCGTGCTCAAGAAAACATCCCTGTGATGATAATGATATCCCTACAATTGACGACATATTCTGTTTTTAAGTCGCATCACGACGGCAAACGCGGCATTATCTATATGGAAATTGGTAGAATGGCTAGCTGCTAGCCTCATAGTTCTTAGTTACGAGGAATCATTGGTGGAATATCAACTTCTGTCTGGTTATGAGTTCGTAGATTGCTTGAGTAAGCGTAATTGCTGCTGGGCATTCAGAGACACGAGTTCTTCTCTCAAGCTCTATAAATATGGGCTGTTTTCCCGCTCTATTATCCCTAAGAACGTTTCCTTTTCCATTCAGTTTACAGTCATCCCGAAGTCCACCGTTTCAGTCTCATATTATCAAAATAAGATTCTCGTCTGCTTTATTTGTTGCACTTTCTGCATCTTTGGCGGTTGCAGTTCCTGTTAGCTCGGGGACTGAAGCAGCCGCCGAATGGTTCGACAAGGCCTACTCCGAGAAGCGTTCTCCCAAGGAGGATGCTGCTGCTGAGTGGTTCGACAAGGCTTATGAGTCGAATTAAATCACAGAGTATGTTGGTTCCTTCTCAAAGGCTTTTCACTAGAATTGGTCGCTAATCCTGAGTACAAGAGAGTAGGGCTCGGCTTTTAGGTATTGCGCAATATTGTCGAGTCGTTCAATTTGATGATCAGTTACGACAAAGAGCGTTTGCGAGAGGTCGAGGGTCTTCCATGGATATGGCCCCTCTCGTCTATGTTGTATGGAAAGCATTTATGCAATTTGAGATTTCTTGTTTTACTCTTCAAGCCGCCCATTAGATGCCTATTGCTTAACAGCCAAAGATAGACAAATCAGTATGTATACCGAGCTACCTAACACTAAGTGAGGCATGAATACATAGCCGGGATTTTTCATTCTAGCGATCTTCAAATTCGTCATCAGTATCTTTGCAGAAAGGCAGCGCGGGATGTAGTCTTCCAGTGGCCAATTCTATCTGTACGCTAGTTAGCGAAAGGCGCTATATGGCCCAGGCGTTGCTGCAGATTCATTATAAGCTGCGAAAACTTGTATCAATTGTCAGGAAGTGGGAGATATAACCCATTTAGTATCTGAAGAACATACTCTCTTCAACCTTCGATCTCACCTCACGGACCCAAATCTTCAAGTTCTTACGCATGACACCCACATCATCCTAAGCTAAAGGTTCGTGCACGCGATTTCAAATCCGAGGAGATAGTAGAATGGCCGCGCTCAGTATGTAGAGGTCGAGGCTGCGGTACCTGAACAAATCCTGGGCCACGCTCCAGGTCAGATTCAGTTCCATACGCAGACCACCGGTGGTCATGCACAAATCCTGGATCAAGCACCAGGTCGGGCCGTGGTGAGACGTTCCGCGCCCGCCCTCTAGCAAATGACAGGCACCACCATTACCGAATTCAAGATGAGCCGAGGAAGCCAAGTTGTGTCCTCAACTTTTACACGAAATTGTGCACTCTCTGTCCATTCCTAGTTGGCATAGAAATGTCAGTATAGCTCACACTTCTTAGGGATTGTATGCTCCCTTTGTGTTAATGGAAGGGAAGGAGAGCGCACTGCTTCGCTTGAGGGAGACTCGGCGTCCCTCCATTTTTTCTTTATCGATTTTAATTCTTGTTATCAACCTTGCTTTCTATTGGTTTTGGTCAGACTTTTATGAGGTAGAAGAAAAGGCGGGAGAGGATAAGAAAACCGGATAGTTAGGCGCTTAAAAATAGAGAGAAAATCGTGGACAATACCAGGATAGACTAGATAGACCTAGCTAGCTAGGCGCTTAGAAGGAAGCAGTACCCCTCAAATGCTAACGCGGTATAGAGTAGGGGTTTTGGCCCTTTCGACATTGCTATCTTAGCCTTAACTGAAGATCCTTAAGCTATTGTATGCTTAGGTATGGGATGAATTAGAGTTACGGCACCTAGAGTATCTCTCTGAGACGATACCGCATCGGGTAGAAGCTATTATTGAGAGCCAGAGGTGGTATATAGCGTACTAGATCTCATAGTATGAATTCATGGAGGTTTTATAGTTACCGGTAGAAAATTATATAATCAAGGGAGTGTGGGGCCAGGTGTTGTTAAGACGTTTGGCGTAGTCACTGTAACCAGTTAGTATATAGCTCGGGTTAGCGTACTGTAATGCTATTACAAAAGACCGAATCAAAACTGGTTAACTATGTTGTATACAGAGCAATTATGTATGACCTAATGAAAATAACCGAATACACCTGAAAGGCACTTTGAATATGCGTATTCGTTTATTACTAGCGCGTTCTTGGATGAAACCCGTTTTCAGGGCCAGGCGCTAAACCACGATAGGAAATGAATACCTGCGCCCGGTGGAGCTCCTGGCGTATTCAATCTAATTAAAAATAATCTTTGTACTCTACTCTTTGTACAAGTGTCAACTTCTCGATATTCTTGTCATTCCGCACATTGTTTGCTTCTGGACTCTTCCTTACATCTTCTATTGTATATACGGCGCCAGCAATAATGGCCATCGCTGGCGCCCAACGAAAGGAGGTGCTGAAGGTGTTGATACTATCGCTGCTGTTAGATTTGGTAAGACTAAGCTAGCCCCTCTAAGCCAACAATCACGTTTACTTAAAACTAACAGTGCCTGTAGATCTCCTTTACATTTATTCTGCCCCTCTTCCCTTCGCTGCTGTCGTTCTATCGCGCGCAAGATCCGTCCCCGGATTCCCTCCTCAACCGCATCTTCCACTACCTAAACGCCTACAAAAATTCCTTCGCACGCCCCATTGACTCGCGCTATGACATCGTACTCCTCGGCGGAGCCCTTGGCTCTTTGTTCTCCCTCCTCCAAGCCTTCGCCGCACCCGTTATAGGCCGCCTATCTGACCGCCATGGCCGCCGTCGCGCCCTGCTCACCTCCATGCTAGGTAACCTTTTGAGTGTCGCGCTGTGGGTGTCAGCTACGGACTTCCGCATGTTCCTCGCTAGTCGTATTGTTGGTGGCCTGAGCGAAGCAAATGTGCAAATGGCCAACGCCATAGTGGCAGATATCACAGACGAGGAGCGCCGCGGCTCCTCTATGGCACTGATCGGGGCCTGTTTCAGTGTTGCATTCACATTTGGGCCAGCGCTGGGTGCGGCACTCAGTAGTATTGATATGGTTTCCGAGAACCCGTTCATTATCGCTGCAATTGTGTCCTTTGTTCTAATCTTTATTGAAACCGTGTATCTTTGGACCTGTTTGCCCGAGACGCATCCCCGCTTGACGACGCTTCACAAGGAGGGCGAGACTAACTCTGCAAAGAATAATGCTGTGCCGAGTAAGAAGACAGAAGAGAAGAGCAGTGCCGCCACTAAACGCACCCATACAAACAACCCGGCCCTCCTCAATGCTCTCCACTTCCTCTTCCTACTCCCCTTCTCCGGTCTGGAGTTCTCCCTCCCTTTCTTGACTACAACACTCTACGCGGGATCAGCCACAACAGCCAGCCCGGCCGCATTGAACGGACGTCTCTTGTCCCTGATGGGCTTGGTCGCCTCCCTCCTTCAGGGTACGCTGGTGCGCCGTCTCCCGCCGCTCGTCACCCTCCGAGCCGGTGTCCTGGCCTGTACCATCTCATTCTTCTGTCTTGCTCGCGTTTCTTCGCCCTCAGGTCTCTATGCTGCCGGTGCTCTGCTAGCGATAACAACCGCTACGGTTGTCACGTCACTCAACAGCCTGGGCAGCTTCGAGGCGCAAGATGCAGATCGCGGGGCGGTTATGGGTCGTTTGCGGGGTTGGGGACAGGCCGGTAGGGCAGCCGGTCCTATTGTGTTCTGCTCTCTGTTTTGGTGGGCTGGCCGTGAGGCTGCTTATACCGCTGGCGGGTTTGCCATGTGTGTCGTTACACTGGCGGTTTTCGGCTTTTTGAAGTCACCGGCTCTGCACAAAAAGACCGAGTAATGTGCATAGGTACATAAGAGGAAATTTTGCCTACAGAGTTACAGAAGGGCTGTTCCATTGTTTAAAATGTGATTTAATAGATTTCTGATTTGTTTAGTCTAGGGTATAATATACAGAAGAGTGGCGATAGTATGCCTCAAGGATGCCAGCAGACAAGGCCAAGTGAAAGAGTGGAGTTCAATGCCAAAATGGTACTTTGGCACTCACCAGATGCCGTTGCCCTGGTGCGCCCTGAACAAAAAGAAAGAAAAGAATACATAAACACAGCGGTCATTGTACATTCTTTCATTGCCTTTGGGATTTTTCATTTAATAGGAGATTCGCTCAAGGTGTGATTGCATATGAGGGTGCAGTCACGATCTCCGGCCATTACCAGAAGTAAACCCATGATTTTGACCAGTTGCCATGGCAAGTCCAGCGTTGACAGCCGGGTCCAACGAGCCACGTGCTTTGCCAATGAGCCAGTCAGTGAGAGTCACGAATTTAGCAGTCCGGTCCCAGCCGTCCGCTTCATTGGCATGCTCGATAGTATGAGTCAGGATGCGACCCTCCTCATCGAAAGAGAATATAAAGATACCGGTGAACTGCTCTTCTTTTGACAGTTTGAAAATAGGCTCTTCACCACCGAGAAGGACACTCAAGCCTTTGTTGGTGCCGTTTGTGGAAGCCGAGAGATGGCTATTTTGTGATGGGGCAGTTTTTGAGGTTGTAAAATTGGTACCTGAAGATGCTGGGCCATGGAAGGGGCGGCTATCTGTTCGTGGTTCGGTTTTCCATCGTACTAGTAGGCGCTCATCGCCGCAGTCGTGGTGGGTGCCGTGATGCGTGGGGTCGAGCAGCGTCCCGGCGCGTACGATCCTTTCGCTGAGAATTTGTAATTTAACGTTGCCAACTAACGGTACGCTACTCCATGCTACCGGGACAGTCCATAGTGCTGCGCGATAGAGTGTGCGTCCTTTGACAGTGGGGAGGTGTGGATGTGTGGATGGGAATAGGTGAAGATTAACACTCGGGGCAAGGATTTCGGTGGGCAAGGTGTTGTACAAGATGGTCGGTAAGAGGGGTGAGAGGGTTCGTAAAGCTTCAATAATTAGTTAGGCGGCTTTGTATTTTTTTTTTTTTAAAAAAAGGAAATGAGTACACACTTTTTCCGAGTTTCAAGGTTCTTTCATCTGGCGGTTTGTGATCGGTTCTCCGAGGGCCTTCCCCATGCTCCCTCTGCACCCAAGCCGGAGAGAAGTATGTGATTGGTAAAGGCGTAGTTGAGGCTGGAGGTAACCAGGGCTCATTGAGAAGGCCATGACGAAGTTGCGCCAGTCGTTGTCGCGAAACCGAAGCAAAAAGCCGGCCAGAGATAAGGCTTTTCGGCTGATTAGGAAGAGACTTGCGCAGAGAGACCAGCTTCGGCATTCTGCATTTCAAAAGCAGTTTGATTTTAATATGTTGTCAAGCCATGTAGATGTGAAGGTTGAAGTTGCTCGGAGTCGCGGAGTCGGGGGAGTCGGGGGGAAAATGACGTTGCAGGAACCAATCAGGATGCTCTGGGATACAATTTTATACTTACATGTATCTTCACCACTCACTACATTTGTACAACCTAATAACTACATA